TCCTTGCTTCAGTTTAGGACAGTTGCTTTTAGCAGTGTGGCTGTTCTGTTGCTTGTCATCTTGGAAGTGCCAATGGAGGTACAAGTATTTCATTATTTGGAAGAAGGAAATTAAGTTGTTTGGCTCAGTAAAATGAGAGTCCTCTATTCTATGCTGGTCTTCCACTCCTCCTGCCATGCCCTAGGGAAGTGTTTCACCCTGCCCCGGTTTTGTTGCTGACATGTGGTGTGAACAATCCCTTCTCTCTCCTCATCTTCAGGAACAGAGACACCTCACCCACGAGAATGTGCAGCGTAAGCAGGCACGGACAGGGGAAGAGAGGGAGGAGGAGGAGGAAGAGCAGATCAGTGAGAGTGAGAGTGAAGATGAAGAAAATGAAATCATTTATAATCCTAAAAATCTGCCTCTTGGTTGGGATGGCAAGGTAAGGGAGACTGCAAGGTCTGGAAAACTGGGCGGTGCTGCTAACTCTGCACTGCTCTTCTCTTTGAACCTGCCTTGGCATTCGGCCTGACTGTCATTTCTCTTCTCTCCTCAGCCTATCCCTTACTGGTTGTATAAACTACATGGCTTGAACATCAACTACAACTGTGAGATCTGTGGTAACTACACCTACCGAGGGCCTAAGGCTTTCCAGCGGCACTTTGCGGTGAGTCCTGCCCTGCTGCAAGAACATCTGTGCTGAGATGGGATGGTCTTTATAAGTGACTGATAACTCACTGGGGTGCTGGGAGGCACCTCTTCCACCTCCGAGATGTGTCTGGGCTGGTTCTGCTGGGCCCTGCAGTTGGAGCTGCAGATTGGGCCAGGCATACTCAGATCTCTTCTGCAAATGTTCACACAGTCCCTTTTTGTCTGAACACTTAATTCCAGGATCCAGGTCTGGCTGGATTGCCAGTGTAATGTTACTTCTAAAATACAGGAAAGATCTTTCATAGAGGTTTTTAGGACTGGCAGATGTGTGTTTTGGTAGTATTTGTTTCAGCCTGCCCAGCTGTTGTGGCTCTTGGCATGGCAGATGGAGCGGCATTCCCTCTCATACTCTGACCTCTTGCCTCTTCTCCCCAGGAGTGGCGCCACGCGCACGGGATGAGGTGCCTGGGCATTCCCAACACAGCACATTTTGCCAACGTCACACAGATTGAGGATGCAGTCTCATGTAAGTAGTGATGGCAGAAGAAGGAGCATGAGGCATAAGAGCACTTGCCGAAAGTGTGTCTTGCCTTGTGACCAGGAACTAATTTAGGGAAA